GGCCGCCGCACCGGGAGCTGCGCAGGCAGAGCTCCTCTGCACAGCCTCGTGCTCCCGGGGCTCCCGTCAGCGCTGGATGGATGTCAGCCAGCATGGTTTGCTATTCATTCCCTGGGCCGATCATCCTCCAAACACCGGGAGAGTTGCAGAGCAGCCTAATTATACTTGACACAGCGGAGTCGTGCGTTTGGTGTTGTCCACGTATTGCCTCAGACTTGCATGTACACCCACACCTAGCAAGTGTAAATAACTGCCACAGCTGAGAACGTGATGACAGAAACAAAACGTATAGAGGCAGCCCTGAGGTATAAAATGCCTTCACCTTGTGAAATCATCTGCGGTGCTATTCTTACAGTTCACTCAGAGATTTATTAGGCGGTGATGGATGCAGGCATATTTGCAGGGAGTTACTTGTGTCTAATGCTCTGTGACTCTTCTGCCACTAGGGATCTTCACAGTTGCCATCAGTTAAGAAATTAGGTAGTTTCTTAATTAGCTGCCAGGAAGGAGGGTGAGGCTTAATTTTAAAAAGCACTTTTGTAACTCTTGCATTGACTTTTTTTTTTTTCATGCTTTGCAATGTTATTTTCCAGGGATGTAGAATTGTTTATTTAATCTAGGTGCTAAGCAAAGTTCTGTTTATCCTTAATTCAGAAGACGGGGTTTTATCCTTTACATACCAGCGAGTGAGTTGTACAGATTGATCTTTTCAGAGTTCTCTTGACTAAAATTTCTGCTGTAATGAATTTTTAAACACTTGACTTTTCCAGGTAACTATCAGGCCAGTTGTTGCCCTCCCTCCACACTGGAATCTTTTACAGAAACCCATGACTTCTTCCCAGGTGTGCTCTTTCTGAGACCCTGGCAGTGAGGGGGCTCTGCCCCATCATTAAGGCCGCAGCAGTGCTTCCCTCCTCCAGCTGCTGTGGCACTGCTCAGGTTCCTCCTGCAGGCAAGGAGAAGATGTGACTGGTTACGCCTATTCCTATTAATCAGGAAAATGCAGGCTTGTCTTCAAAGTAGAGGGGGAGGTTGCTCCTACTGACCGCGTCCGTCGCTGTTCTCTTCCAGCTGTGTGTTAACTCCATCTTCCCGTGGTGCATTTTACATCAAGGTTATGTCAGCAGAGTCTTTCCAGAATAATCTGACCCTTAATGGCAAACTCGGTCAGAGCTGGAATCCAGTGGAAGCAATTTTTGGTGAAACTGATCCCTCGTGACCTCTCTCCTAAGGTTGTCTGGGAACTGTATGCGCTAATGGGAAAAAGAGTGGTGACTTTGCACGTTCTCAGACCACTGGGTGTGATCCTGCTCAGCGCAGCAATGCGTTGGTCAGGTTTGTGACGAGCGCTTTACAGCCGTCTGCCCGGCAGGTCCCCCCCACCTGCCCGTGCGCCCCTCTAACGCCTGCAGATCCAAACGTGCGAGCGCACCTTGCTCAGGAACAGATGTCTCTGCAGAACAGATGCAGTTACTCGTTGCTTTTCTGTGTGAATGTAGTAAGCATCCTTCAGTGGAAAACAGGTGGTAATTTTATTTAAATCCAACTGTATCATAGAGCAATAAAACTAGTGAGATGATAAAGCCTTGCCAGGTTTTCCATTTCAATAAGCGTCTAACCTTGAAACTGTTTTAATCAAGCTTCCTTATCGGATGTTCTCCTTACTGCATTGCAAGCACACACCTGAAATTACTGCTTGGCCTCAAATTAAAAGGTGATGCTCTTTTGATTTGCACTATTAAATAATTTCTATTGGAGGATTAGTTTTTTGTTTCGCCTTTTCTGAAGGCAGTGTGCATCATTAAAGTGGCTGTGCATGAATGGTAATGTACTTGCATTTTCTCTCATCAGAATAACGAAATGGTGGAACTACAGAGGATACGAATGAAAGATGAAATTCGAGAGTACAAGTTTCGAGAGGCGAGACTCCTCCAGGACTACACTGAGCTTGAAGAAGAAAACATCACTTTACAGAAACTGGTGTCCACACTGAAACAGAATCAAGTAAGCATCGAAAGATTCAAGGCGCTATGCTGAAAAATGACGCCATTTTCTCCAACGCTTGTAATTTGATCCTGCAGAGCCCTTTGACAGAAGTTTCTTTGTATGTTTTTTCAGTTGAGTTTTTGCTAAACGCTTATTATAACAGTGTTATTGGCCATTTTTGATGCATGGGGAGGCCCTTGCCTCAGTGTTAGGAAAATCTTGGTGGAATATTTCATTGCAGAACTTTGTAATAGCAGAGAAATTATTACAATAGATAGAGTTGCATTTTTCGCTTCCTGCTTTTCCTCTCCTCCCTCCCTGCACGCTGAACTCAGTGCCCAGCGGCAGAGTTCAGCCCTCCATTTCCTCTCAGTTGGTTTCCTGCACATCCTTTCCCCTTCTGAAGTGGAGAAAAGGGGAGATAATCTTCTCCTTGTTCTTTATTTTTTTTTTTACCCCTGCTCCTCAGTTTTCCTGTACCAGTGTTGCTCTCTTCTCAGCCATGCTAACCTGCAAGTGTAGCAAGTTTCAAAAATAGGCGAAGGGACGTCAGATATTCCCAGTTTGTCTTTTGTTTTCCTCATTACAGCAGTTTGCAGCTGATGGCAAACCAACACACTGTAATTCTCACTGCAGTGCAGAATGCACCCTGAGGAACCGTCGCAAACAGCAGCCCCATTGCATCCAGATGCAAGCAGTCGTGGGGTCTGTTCTCTCCCTCCTACAAAAGCGCAGGTCCCTTTGCTGCTGGTTATAGATACTGCTGAGGGAGTAATCAAAACCACACTTATCCTTTAAATTGAATGAAAGAGATTTGTTCTCACATCAGAAGAGTTAACTTGCCGTGATCAATATTTAAGTATCTGAGTTGCATGATGTAACACTTTCTGCCTTTTAGACATTTCCAGACCAGTGCAACATGGCACGCTGTAACGCCATTTCCTTAACGCTAGCAGATGGTAACAATGCTGCGTTGCAACCTCTGGTTTATGTCCTAACCTACTGCCTGGTTCAGTTGGGGCTTTTATCAAACAGCCAAGACTGTCACAGTCTGTAATGGCAGCCTGGGAACAGACCTGCCTTATTCCTGCAGGAACACGCAGTACTGTTTCAGCTATCTGTTACTGCTATTTTGCTGCTCTAGCACAAATGCAATTGAAACATTTAAAACAACGAAGCTGTGCTGTGGGGAATACGCAGGTAATAGAAAAGGGTACGTCGTTTCCTTATTTATGAAGATACCCAGATTTTCATACTCCTGAAACTGAATTTATAGCAGATCGTCTTTGTGTCAGAGTTATTTACTAAGCTAGCAAATTCCCTCTTTGAGGCATGGATATTTTCCTCACCAACCTCCTAGGAGGCATTTTCACAGTATCAGGAAATTATGGACTGTCCTAGTTTCCCCCAGAAGAAAATCGGTTGGCAAGTGTTTATATTTGTCATAATATTTCATTCTTAATGAATCCAAATTCTGTGGAGAGAAAAAGCATTGCCACATTTTTAATGGCTTTAAAAATCAGTCATTTTGCATCACACGTCCCCACACTTGTGATTCCTAAACCAGCCTTGATCTAAAAGGTAAAATTTCAAGAGCGTTTTATACTTTAATTTACAAACCCATATGTTACAAGTCTTAGCGCTAAACTGTCATTGTCTGGGTTGGGTTTTTTTGTAGCTTTTGTAAGCAAGAATCCATGAGATGGTAATCATGTAGATAATCTAGACCTCAAGTTTTCATATGGATTTAAAATTTTAAAAGGTTTCTTTTTCCACATCCTTAAGTTATAAACATAGCTACTTGATGGGATTTAATGATTTTTCAGGTGGACCTCTCTCTCTAGTTAGAAAAGAGATCAAGTTCCTTAATGCAGGTTTCAAAATATCATGGATTTTCCTTTTCTATTTAGCATTTTCCAATATGACTTTGGAACTTTCTTTGTTGTTTGAAATGTTTCCATTCTCTGGGTTTGAAGAGTAGTGCTTTGATTTTTAAGTTTGCCTTTCCAAAGGCTTCTGAGTACAAGACTTTTGACAGGTTGATAAATATTCTACTCCAGTAGGAATGGTTGATATTTCTATTTTCACCAGAACCTTATTATAGTTTGTTTAAATATATATATGTCAAAGAAAAGATATTCTAGATGATGCCATAAAATTGCAGATAATAATGCATATTAATGCATTTGAATGAGAAAAGCCTCAACTGAACAAAGCTTTTTTTATGGAAGCATGAAAATTCAGTATTTCTTTTCCTCTTTCACCAAACTATTGAATTATTTCACCTGATACTGGGAATTTTTTGCATTTAGAAATGAAAAGGTGGATAAGTAACAGGATTAGAATTGAATTAAAAATCAAAGCACAATCATTTTTACCAGGAGAGTTGGTCAAGCATGGACAATGACCTTTAGAAACAAAGCTCTTTGTTTTCTCTGCTGTGGGATTTTCCAGCAGTGAAAAGGAAGATGAGGAGGGCCAGCATGGGCAGGTCTTCTGCTGTGGGCATCAGCAGTGCCACCTAGATACTGCTCAGCAACTGGTTTTGAGCTAGATCGAGTTTACCTAAGCTTTGCTTCTTGTTAGGTGTGATAGAAAGGACTGAATAAATGTGGGAGCTGCCTTTTAAAGAAGAGAGAAGAAGCTGGTTTTTTTTTCTCAGCCCACACTGCCAATAAATACCTTGGTAAAAGATTGCACGTCAGTGCGTGGCAGGCAGCCTGCCCTCTGAGAAGGAGAAGGACCGGTGAGTCCCTCCAAGCCCGGTGAGGCTGCACCAGGTCGCTGGGGGAAGCGCTTTAGGCAGCGCGCTCAGAGCAACAGGTTGCCAAGTGCTCCGAAATACCACCCCCAGCACACAGTGCAAGGATTGTGCGGCTGGATGAGCTGTTTACTATGCTTGTTTGATAGCTTAAAAATCTCCAACAATTTGGGGCATCTTAGAGTTTAAACTGATTGTATGAATAGTTTGCTGTTTAATTTTTAAAATCAAATGCTTCTTGAATAATGGAAAGGCTTGTGTGACGCAGAGAAGAGAGTTGAGGCTCTTCTGCAGTTTTTGTGCTTGAACACTACTAAGATTCCGGATACTTTAGAGTATCCGTGCCTGAGTGACTTTACATTTGGTAAGAATTTAGATAAGGAGTCATCTTCAGAATACTTGCGATTAATAAATCTGACTATATTAGCCTGAGATCTATGCATACCTTGATATACCAACATTGCTTATGGCAATTCATAATAAATCTATGGTTACCAGGATATCTGCTACTAAACAGCCTTCTGTCCATGACATACATTGCTTATTGTCATAAGTTACTCAGAAAAAGGTGTTAAATTTCTTCATTCTCACATGCTGAAAAAGTGAGCAGTGGAGGATTTAAAAGAGCAGGCTCCACTTGCATTTTCCGTGCAGCCAGTTCTTTGCAGCTGCAGGCAATGTCTGGTATTTCAAACTGTATTTTCCTGTAAAACCTGTTTCCATAAGGCTGATAAATGGCAGGTTTTCATGACTTAAGTTTTAGTATTATGAATGTTCTTTGTCTTGTCTAATTCAGGTTGAATATGAAGGCTTAAAGCATGAGATTAAACGATTTGAGGAGGAGACAGTGTTGCTTAATAGTCAGCTAGAAGATGCCATCCGGCTGAAGGAGATTGCTGAGCATCAGCTGGAGGAAGCTCTGGAAACTTTAAAAAATGAAAGAGAGCAAAAGAACAATCTGAGGAAGGAACTCTCCCAGTATATCAACCTCAATGATAGTATGTATAATAACCATATTAATATATCAGTAGATGGATTGAAGTTTGCAGAGGATGGGAGCGAGCCCAACAATGACGACAAAATGAATGGACATATCCACGGGCCTCTCGTGAAGCTCAACGGTGACTACCGAACTCCCACGAGTAGGAAAGCAGAATCTCTGCACCCTGTCTCTGACCTCTTCAGTGAGCTCAACATATCAGAAATACAGAAACTGAAGCAGCAACTCATGCAGGTAAGAGCTGAATTTAATGTCCTGAAGTGTTTAGACACCCATCCTATGGACCCTACTGCCAGCTTTTGCAATTATTTCCCTCATTCTTGACCACGTAATGTCCCGTTTTCAGACTTCTGCTTCGGTGTGTCTTCATATCCATGTTTTGCTAGAAATATCCCTAGTAAACAGAGTATCTGTCTGCAAAAAGTCAGTGTGATCTGAGCAGATGTGTAGTGCAAGGAGGAGAAAAGGTCCTAGCTACTGTGGTTGCAGATGGTTAAATTCTGTTTTTTCCTGCTTTGATAATGGGAAATGTCCAAGAAATTGCAAATGGAACAAAGTACTCTTCAATATGACCAAAGCTATCTGGAAAAAACCCCACTAAAATCCAGACAGACTTGATTATGCTCCTTTGCAAGTCAGAGGGAGTTTTTGACATTAAATTCAGTTTGAACAAGATTTGGCATACCGTCAAGAGAGAACAAAAGGAGAGGTGCGTTCCTTTTAATAACTGTGCACTCGGAGAGCATGTGGCGTGTGAGATGTCCCAGAGTGCCCTTGTCCACCCTGGCAGTCCCGGCGGATGCGCAGGCTGCAGGGGGTGCCTTGGGGACCATACAGCCACCATTTGGTCTCCATTCATCCCAGCCCGGGCATAACCAGATTAGGAACCTGGGATGCAAGCCAGACAAAACCTCAAGCTGCCAGCCCCGATGCTGACGTTGTCTTAGAAAGGGGTACAGTGCCACACAGAGCAAGGGTCCTGCTGCCCAGGCTGTTGGGCATCTTCTCTGCCACAAGAGCTTGAAAGGTTTTTGACACCATCAAGGAAACATCCAGCATTTTCTTGCTGCAGGCTTCCAAAAAGTGCCTCTTCTAAACGGCGTAAATGTAAATCCTTTCCTGCTTAAAACGTAAAAGGCATTTTGGAAGTAGAGCAAACCAAATTTTCAGTGCTTGTGAGAGAACAATAAATCCCGGCGTGGTCTGTCCTATATTTGCTGAAGAGTTAATTATTCTATTTACTTCATTGCCAAACACACCGTGGGAAGTTTCGATCTGAGCTATTGTTACCAGAAAGCGGCAAAATAATTCACTCTGTAAGACTTATTTTGAAGTTTTAGAAAGCAGGCATTCTTTATTGCAGCGCTGGGTGCAGGGGGGATAACTCCACCTAACATGCACACCCAAAAGACAAAACTAGCAAGTATTTATACTATGTTAATAGACATATTCATTATATTTCCGAGTAGTGCTTATCACATTCATGGATTTTCCGGGAACTCGTTAGCATATGCTAATGTCTTTCCGTGCACCTTTGTTGGCACCTCCGGGTGGTCGTTGAGGGTCTTCAGACTCAGTCCTGGTATCACATATACCTTATCCCTCAAGGCTGGTTTTGTGATCACCTTGTAACTTTCTTATCTTTGCGCATCTGTTCTTCCAGGGCCGAGCTGTTTAGAATGAGATTGTCCCAGGGCTTCTTATCTTACAACTAATTATTTTCTAAGTTACAATGGCTTCCCTTTTGTTTGGTTACATCTATTGAGCAATGGCTCTAGTTGCTTGAATTGATCTTAATATTTCAATATTCACAGGTATCACTATGACATGGCAAATGTTGACGACATCTAGTGCTTTGCACAAATAACTTTGATGCAAGATATACATAATTTAAGTGGAAAAGCTTGAAATTTGGAATTTTATTTCTGTTAAAAATTTTCAGAAAATTTTTCAGTATTAAAATGTAAACAATGTGTGTAGTTTGTGTATATGTGCATATATAAAATTATGCATGTGTATGGACGTATACGTTTATGTATATAATATATGCATATATATGTAGCTTTTGATTTTATTCAGAAATACAATGTTAAAATAAAAAAACCCACCTTCAGAAGAAATGCTTTGAAATGGTGACGTTTTAAAATACAGCATAAGTATTTTCAACCATCATTTACAATGAAGTTTATGCAATATAAATCTGGAGTGAAAGCTGTTTGGAACTGAAAAAAACAAGATTGGGTATATTTTGTCTTGATTTTATTAAATTAAATATTGAGCTTGATAAATCAGCAAACTTCTACTTGAAAGACACTGCAAATGTTTTGATGGTCTCTGAATTTAACATTACTTATTTATTTTACACATCGTAAACAAAGTGTCAGCCTTCTCACAGTCACTAGCCACAAACTGTCTAGGATCCTATGGGACCCTAGGAGGACCCTAGAAAATAAATATAACCATTTTTAGGTCACAGCAGCTTTGCTGGGCCCCAGCACCCTCACTCCAATAGCCACCACTGTTGTTCAGTATTCTAATCATGTTTAAAGGTGTAAGGTTTAAAAAGAAAAACTGGACCCAGCTGGAAATCTGATTTCTTTAGAAACTGAAAAGGCTTACTGGAAAATGCTGGTGTGTACTTTTTTAAAGTGATCAGCTCTCTTGAGTTGCATCAGCTCACCTTGGGTCACACACAGTAAGTGTGACGAATTACTCCAAATTTTTTCCTTGTAGTGGATGGGAGATTTAATTGGGTTCAAGCTGACAAAAGGTAATTCTTCAGCAAAATTGAATTTATTTTTTTTTTCTCCTCCACAGTGTCTTTGCCATGTGGTGTTCATTCAGTCACATCTCAATATTTGGTCTATGTTCCTCTTGTTTTACTTGAAGAGGCTGTACTATGACAGGGTTGCTGAAGGAACTGACCCATTTGTGGGAACTATTTTTATGTCTGTAGAACAGTAGGCTCCTTTTTTTGAGAGAAGTAAACTTCGGATTTTCCTTTTTTTACACGTGTGGCAAATTTTTTCACTGCTCAATCTCAAAAAGAAACCTTCACCAAAAAAGTTAGTATGACAGGTATCATTCCTTCTTGCAGATTTAGGCTGCTGCTGCTGGTGGTCCATGATCTATGCTGATCCCTAGAAGAGATTTAAGTTCAAATGTTTTGTTTCTATCTTTTAAATCCACTAGGTAACAAATACCTTGCTGAAAATTCCTGTATTCCAAGATTATTTTGGAAAAGCTCAAGGCTTTCTGCTCTGCTTTCATGTTTGTTGTCCAGCGAGAATTATCCATCTCATCTTTAAAGCCTAGGAATCCTCTCTTCCTTCCATGGCAATGCTTTCCCTGTTCCTGAAGGCTGACATCATATTTGGAAAACTTGGATTAAGTTCTCTCAAAAAAAAAAAGTAAAAAATAAAAGTAAAAAAAAAAGTTTAAAAAAAAAAAAAAAGTAGCCCAGGTTCTGACACTCTTCTCCAGCTGCCTGTTACTCTCTGGCAAACACAATACAGCTGAGATTCAGGGTTCTTGAGCTGAGTTTTCCTGTTAATTTGTTCCAGTCTCCACTAGGAATTATTCACTGATATTCTGATGTTATTTAAAAAAAG